CTTCAACTTAATCTTATTACTTATTTGTATTAGAATCAGATCATATCAATTTAGAAAAATCTTTTAGTATAACTATAATCAGATTATACCAGACCAAATCAGATTAAATATATCTTTAAATATAACTACAATCAGATCAAACTTTATTCCAATCATATCATGTAAAGAGAACAAGTCCTAATTTTGAATCGTTTTAATAAAAGGTGATTAAAATAATTAGTGAGTTTTCATATTTAGTCCTCAATTTTAAGATATTAGTCTTTTGTTTTGGTACGGTTCTGGAACCGCTGGTTCTATTACCGCCACCATATGTGACTGTTATCGGTGCCGGATGTCCCAATTCCAGTACCAATAGTTCCGGCACCAGTTCTGGGCTAGTTCGGCTGTTCAATTTTTTATATGATTGAGTCAATTGAGATGTAAAACAAATTTACAAGTTTTCATAAATTCTAATTTTTAATAACGTAGTTGTTAGGCCACTCAAAATGAGTGGCCATTGAACCTAGCCGTTTTACGGACCGGTTCCATGGACACTGCTTTTAGTAGTCAAGGAAGTCACTGCTCTGAATCGGATACTTACAGTTCTCTGTTCGTAAAATTGTTCGTAAAATTGATGCTTCCTACCCTCTCCTCCGGTAAACCCTCCGCTCAGTCCCGACTCCAACCCATCCCTCCACCCATATATGTCAATTGCACTCGGCAAATTTAGTTGACTTTAAAGTCAACTAAACTTGCGGGGTGCAATTGTCATGGTGGGAGATGGGTTAGGGTCAGAACTCGGTGAGGAGGTTTACCAAGATGGTTAGGGGGTAGGAATCATCAATTTTACGAATGGAGCATTGAAGAGTTGCAGTGGCTTTGGTAAAGTTTATTGTGAGAACAACAAAAAAAGAAAGTGTAAAGTTTATTTTAGAACAGGTGTATATTCTTCCATGATCACTTGAAATGAATAAGTAAAAAGCCTGCCACATAAAGAGTGAAGCGCTTTCATCTTCCAGCCTTTTCCTGCAAATTCTAAGGACAAGAAAAATGGAGAAGCAGGGAAGGGGCATATTTTCATGAACATTTTGGTTAATAGATTGGGATTTTACCACTTTGACACTCCCTTACAGCAGCCCGTGCCTTGAAAATTTCACCAACTGTCTTCAAAACTCAATCAAGAAGTATCAGAGACCACTCACAAGTAATCACAACGAATAACTGATCATTTCCTAATAAATTGTACACTACAACACTAATAAAATTAAATAACACACCATCCGTCCCAAAACAAAACTATGAATATCACGTGGTGAACACGAACAACCTTCCCATTTAGATTGTGTGATGTTTAATGTGTAACAGGAGAGTATTTTTCTTCAAATGTTTAAAAAAAGAAATAGTCAGTAATGCATATATAATCAAGTACACGAGAACAACAATCAATCCTTAGAACCGTAATTCATTTATTAGAACCTTGGCCAAAATCAGTACGTATTTTGTAGCCCACACCATCTTATAGGGGCAATACAATAGGTTGTACTTGCTTTAGAACAAACACACGCCTGGAACAACACCAAAATAAACTCCTGTCTTATAAAATTTGCCGATATCTCTTCTTTGATCTCCCAAACTGTGATGTCAAAGAACAGCACTCTGTAATCAAGCATAAACATACATGTCGAATGAAGTGCTAAAGAGTTCATTTGTAAAGAAAAATATCAGACCTGTGACTGAGGGCATGATTAATCCCTTTACGCTTTGGGTATAGTTTCGCTCCGGCTTTCCACTTTGGGTATAGTTTTGCTCTCCCTTTCCACATTGGGTATAGCTTCGCTCCCGCATTCCTCCTTCCGTTGCTGCTCCAGCATTTTCTTATTCTTCTCCAAGGCAGCAGCAACTTCTTGCGGCATATACTTCTCATCGTGCTTAGCCAGCACTTCTGAAGCCTCAAAATAGCAGTTTCCACTTCTGGCCTTCTCTGTGATCATGGACTTGTTCTCTCTCAGCATCCCCTCATCCTTCTTCTTCATCTCTTCTGTGTACG